TTTACATTTTGGGAAATAGAATTTACGTATGCTTGAGGAATTCTAAAAGGTAAACATTTAAATGTTAAAATACTTATTACCTTCCCCACAGGGACAGTGTTGGAAATTAATGAGATAATAAATGTGAAATGCTTTGAGCTTTTTTAGAAGAAAGGTGCCAGATGAACACAAATGATTATTAATTGTTAAAGCTTTCAGATGGTTTATCTGAAATATATTACTTACAATAAAATATACCTTTTTATACTTGAAAAATAAGATACTTGAGATTCTTAGGATGACATAGCTGAACCTGCTCTCCAAAGTCTTCCTGGGTCGCCCCACATCCTGTTGGAAGTTTTTTTGAGCCCTTCCCCATTTTCGTGACCTCACACCCATCTTTCAGACGAAACTATGGGGTGCACTGCCCAGTCTCCACGCTCCCTGCAGCACCACCCCCACCCTGCCAGTCCTCTGCAAGGTCTCACGGACCCTAGGTCACTGGGGAGCTCCGCAGACACCACCTCCTCTGCCCCTGATTTCTGTGATCACATCACTGTGACACCCCACGCTGCTGTCAATTGTGCAAGCTGATTTCATTAGCAGGAGGTGTGTGTGTAAGTTAAACTGTCCTGAACTTGAAGCCACACAAGAATTTGTTATAAAAGAGTGCAAGCCCTTTGAACGATCTGGGACAAGCAACATTCAACTTCCTGCAGAGCATGCGGAATGTGTGGTAACAGAGTGCAGACCCCAAACTTCACTTAGCCTAAGACTCGGGATGCAACACCCTCGTAAATCTCTTTTTTCTCGTATGTAAGATGGAGACAGGGGTAGTACCTACTCACAGGTGTTGTTGTTGGAAAGATGAGACAGAGTGATGTATATAAAACTTCTGGTGCTGTACGCCCCTAGCCCATAAGGTAATGTAAGTAGATAGTGGAAGGTGGGTAAGTAGATACCACAGTTTGCCATTAAATGTCATCTATTTCGGTTCTTTAAAATCCATATGAAATGGGTGACCTGTAAAGGGAGGTACTTATTATGTCCCAATAATGTGTTCCATAATGGTAGTATGGTTCATTTCTCAAACCGCTGCAAACATTCAATATTACACAATGGGTTATTTCTCATGCAAAGATAGCTCTACTGTTAAATGTTTGCTTCCCCCTAAATGGCACATGAGTTAATAAAAAAACTCTTATTGGCAAATACTTCATTTTTCTCTTTAGAGTAGTAAAAACCAAGTAATCGAGATTAATTTATGTTTGGGAGACACTGTACACATAGATACAGTGTTTTCAAACTTACCTGGGTTTACCAATAGCACGATGCCTTTGCCGCGCATGTGTGCTAAAAGATAATGGGCTATGCTTCTTTTCAAATGTTCTGTAATTAAAGCATTTCACTAATTTAATCTGGTCCTCTGGCTTCTTCCACTTAATTACTTGAAGTGATTGTTTTATTATACCAATTTTTCTCCTTTCACTTTGAAGCCATAGGTTTTTAGGTAGAGAAACTTACTCACTTTCTAGGGAGACCTGAATCTGCGTATCAGGCCTGAATTTGGAAAAAGGCATTCTGTGTGCATGCAGAGAAGGAAAGTGCATTGTGTGAGAAACCCATCATGTGGGTAAAAAAAAAAAAAAAAGGTACGGGAGAGTGAACTCATTTGACTATTGCCAGCAGCTTGAGGTTCAAGAGTGCTAATCAGAATCCACACACACAACTTCCCTGATAGATTTCACAGTTTTGTTCAGTTAAGAGGGGATCGAGCCGCGTGAAAGGTCCACTGCTGTGCTGAACAAAACAGAGACAGTTTTCTTTTAAAGTCCAGAGCAGATGAGAGCCATAAGGAGACAGAGGGTTTCATTTACTCTCAGGACACGATCGTGCCAGTGAACTAATGAGTCTCTTGGACCTTATGTTGCTCTGGCTTCAATCGAGGGGAGATTCTAATGGGCATGTAGTACTTCCTATCCGTCAAGTGTCTGGACAATGGGCCCCCTCATATGGATCAGAGCGATCTGGCAAGAAAAAGAGGTCATCCTTGTACCTAGCACAGGAGGGAAACCTGGCTAATTAATGTATTTCCAACTATAGCGAGACAAAAGCTGACACACACAGACACACGTTAATTTTATTGCAGAAATGCAGCCTGTGGCTGAGGCATAGTTGAAAAATTATGGAAATCCCATAAGTAAAGAATACTCCTTCTTTCCCCAGCATACTCCAATATTTATAAAGATATCATTCTTTAAAACAACTATGTAATGTTGCTGTTGACACTTGCTTCTTTCCCTTTTTGTTAAAGCTGGATGATGAGTAAATATTTTGCACAACTGTGAAGCAAATGCTGAGAGTTAATGTCAGCACTGCATACTTTTAACAATTCGCCCTTTAAAGGTGCTGTTGAACTAAGCTTGTAAAAATCCTGCTGCTGTGTTCAGTGGAGAAGGAGAGGATACAAATGTTTGTTCAAGCTGCAGGGCTCGAGTTACACTGTATCTTAAACTAAGAGCAGATACTGCCCCCTAGACAAATTCTGATGCTTTAGTTAACTAGGTATTGGCTTGCCTTAATTTTTTGAAAAATAGCAACAATAAACAATAGTGGTTTGGTACAATAAAAATACAATGAATGATAGAGGGTCTCTTTAAAAATCTATACAAATGTAATTTTCTTTTAGAAAAGATGTTTTTGTTTGTTTTGGCAAATATCAATGATTAAGCTTTTATTTAATTTTTTTTTTATGTGCAGAAGACAAATTACTATTAGAAATAGGAGGAGAAAACTTTATAAAGCTTTAAAAACAAAATCTCCATTATCTTGAAATTTAGGAAGAGGTAGATACAGAAGTGATATCAGTAAGACTTCTACATTTCTTGTTAGTTATTTTTTTTCCCAGAGTCTGGAAAGAGGAAGAGATTGTTCAATACTCTCAAGTGAAAATGCAAATAGGTTTTGGTTTAATAAGTGAAATAAACATTTTTTTTAAAACAGAGCATTACATTATAATCTGTTCTGATATACCTCTTAGCAAACAAAGCAAACTAACTTTTTCTCTTCACCTCTTTTATTCCTAACAGTAAAAGAAATGTTGCCTTTTCTTGGCTCCAGATTGGAATCCAGAATCAGTAATGTATTCCAGGATCATTCACCTATCAGGATTAGAGAGCTTTTCTTTTTTAAACCATCTTTGGACCGTAGCTGTTCTTCAAATCTCAGTTTGTTTTCCTCTGTTACTCCTAGAATGACTTCAATGTCGTTAATGGCGGCCTGTAAATGAACAATAAAAAAAATAATCATTACTTAAACACCTCTTGCAACTCTTCTCTCCAGCCCGCCATGCCCAGGCATTTGCTCCCTTTTGGAGGCGTGTATGGTTTAGCCCCCTTCGGCTCCCCGTGTGCCCTGCCAGCCAGCACCCGGCTACAAACTGTTGGCTATCATCAGTCTCGATGAAATCAGTACAAAAACTGAGAGTAAGAACTTGGAAACATTTATAGAAATTTCAATGGCTATTAAATGTAATAATGAAAGAAATGGGCTTATATTTTATACATCTTTAATTTTTTAATTTTTCTAATAATTCATTTTTGTTGTATTTTACAATGTTGACCCATTATAGGTCAGAAAAAACAAAACAAATAATTTGAGAGTCACTGGTCCAGCCACCCTAAAATGATGGCTGGTAGGCTGATGGGAGTATTTATTTCTATTGGTTTCTGGGGAAAAAAATGGCACCTTTCCATTTTATTTTATTTGGCTATTCTTTTTATTGAGGTAGAATTTACATACCATAAAATTCATCCTTATAAATTGTACAATTCAGTGGTTTTTAATGTATTCACAAGTGCCCACCAGTACTATGTAATTCCAGAACATTTTCATCACCTTTAATAAAAAGTCTATGTATATTAGCAACCATTCTGCATCTCACCCTTCCCTAGCTCTTGGCAACTGCTAATCTACTTTCTGTCTCTATTGATTTGCCTGCTCTGGACCTTCCATAGCAATGGGATCAGACTATATGTGGCCTTCTGAGTCAGGCGTCTTTCACTTAGCTTTTTGTTTTCAAGATTCATCAATGTTATTGCTTGTGTCAGAACTTTATTTTGTCTTTATGGCTGAATGATATTCCACTGTACCTATTATCTATTTTTGCTTTGATTGCTTGCTCTTCAGGTATCATGTCTAAGAAACAATTGAAACCACAAGGTCATGAAGTTTTGCACCTATGTATTCATTGTGTGGAGTGTTAGCCATACAATATAATGCAGTTCACCCATTTATCCGTTGATGGACATCTGGGTTGTTCTACTTTTTGGTTATTACGAATAAGCTTCTATGAACATGAATGCACAAGTTTTTGTGTGAATGTGTTTTCAGTTTTCTTGGGTGTATACTTAGGCATGGAAATGCTGGGTCATATGGTGTGTTTATGTTTAACTTTTTGAGTAACCGTGAAACAACACACGGCAGTGACACCATTTTACATTTCTACCAACAATACAGGAGGGTTCTATATTTATGCCAACTCTCATTATTGTCTGCCTTTTTATTGTAGCCATCTTAGGTGTGAAATGGTATCTTACTGTGGTTTTGATTTACATTTTCCTGGTGGCTAACGATGCTGAGCATTTCTTCATGTACTTATTGGCCATTTGTATATCTTCCTTGAAGAAATGTCTATTGAAATCCTTTGCTCACTTTTATTTTTTTACTTTTTTCTCAACTTTGTTTTAATGGGTCTCAAAATTCTGCGACAGATTTTGGTCAAGTTGTTTCCATTAAAAAGTACTGATTTTAAAAACTAATAACTTAAAAACTGCCACACACATGCAAAAAACCCAAATGGTCTATGAAACATTCTCCTTTCCTTCTGAAGGTTTTATGATACATTGTAATCATTAACCAGCCCTTTACTATTAACTTAAATGGCCAATTGAGACAAACATTTCTGAGACCATTCTCTCACCACCAGTTAAGACTGAGGTGGCAAGCATTGGGGATAATACTCATTGAAAGGCCTTCTGAGCTTTCTGGGCAGACTTGGCGACTTTGCCAACTCCAGCTGCCTTCTTGTCCACACCACCACACCACCAGCAGCTGTCTGTCTCACATAACAAACAGCAAAGCGGCCCAGAGGATGGTCAGAGGAGCTTTCAGCTCACTCGGGCTTGCCAGGAACCCTATCAACGATGGCAGCTTCACCAGATTTCAAAAGCTTTGGGCCATCTTCCACCATTTTCCCAGACTGATGACCAATCTTCTCCTTCAGCTCAGCAGATTTGTAAGCAATGTGACTATGTGACAATCCAGAACAGGTGCACTTCCAGCACTGATTTGGCCTGGATGATTCGGGATAATAACCTGAGCTGTGAAGCCAGCTGCTTCCATTGGTGGGTCATTTTTGCTGTCACCAGCCACTTTGCCAGGACAGATGTCTTTGACAGACACATTCTCAATGTTGAAGATCATGTTGTCCCCAGGAAGAGCTTCACTCAAAGTTTCATGGTGCATTTCAACAAACGTTACTTCCATTGTAATGTGGACTGGAGCAAAGGTGATCACCCTTTGAGGTTTGACAACACCAGCCTCCATTCGGCCCACAGGGACAGCACCAATGCTGCCAATTTTGTAGACATCCTGGAGGGGCAGACGCAGGGCCTTGTCAGTTGGACGAGTTGGTGGCAGGATGCAATCCAGAGCTTTGAGCAGTGTGGTTCCACTGGCACTGCCATCTTTATGGGTGACTTTCCATGTCATGTTAGCACTTGGCTCCAGCATGTTGTCACCACTCCAACCAGAAATCGTCACAAGTGCTACTGTGTCAGAGTTGTAGCCCATTTTCTTAACGTAGGTGCTGACTTCTTTAACAACATCCTTGTATCTCTTCTGGCTGTAGGGCGGCTCAGTGGAATCCATTTTGTTAACACCAACAGTCAGATGTTTCACACCCAGTGTGTAAGCCAGCAGGGCACACTCATGGGTCTGCCCATTCTTGGAGATCCCTGCTTCAAACTCACCAACACCAGCAGCAACAATCAGGACAGCACGGTCAGCCCGGATGTGCCTGTCATTGTGTTTTTGATAGTCTCTGTGTCCTGGGGCATCCATGATGCTCACATAGTCCTTGCTGGTCTCAGATTTCCACAGGGAGATATCAATGGTGACACCACGCTTACATTCAGCTTTCAGTTTACCCAAGGCCCAGGCACACTGCAAGGAGCCCTTCCCCATCTCAGCAGCCTCTTTCTCAAATGTTTCGATGGTTCTTGTGTCGATCCCACCGCGTTTGCAGATCAGATGGCCGGTAGTGGTGGACTTGCTGGGGTCTGTGTGTCCAATGACCAGAATGTTGATATGAGTCTTCTCCTTTCCTGGTTTGGCTTTGATTCAGTGGTGGTTTTTCATGACACCTGTGTTCTGGCAGCAAATCTGTTGCGAAAAATCCCTTTGCTCACTTTTAAATTGAGTTATCTTTCTATTGTTGAGTTGCAAGAGTAATTTATATACTGTGGGTGCTAGAGCCTTATCAGTTATATGACTGGAAAATATTTTCTCCCATTCTGTAAGTTATTTTTTCACTTTCTTAATAGTGTCCTTTGTGCACAAACATTTTTCATTTTTATGAAATCCAACTTACTATTTTTACTTTGGTTTCTTGTACTTAAGGAATCCTGTCTAAGAAACCATTTTTAACCACAAGATCATGAAGATTTATACCTATGTTTTCTCCTAATTTTTGTAGTTTTGGCACTTACATTTAAGTGTTTGGTGCATTTTACTTAATTTTTGTATATGCCATGTGGAATAGAGGTGCAACTTCAGGTAGGTGAATGTCCATTTTTTTCCAGGACCACTTATTAAAAATAGTGCTGTTGTATTTTACAAAAGTATTGCTGTGGTATTTTACACAAGGATTTTACGAAGCTATTCTTTTCCCATTGAATTATTTTGGCATCCTTGATGAAAATCAGTTGACTACACATGTATGGGTTTATTTTGGACTCACAATGCTACTCCCTCAATCTAGAGGTTCATTCTTATGCCAGTACGCCACTGTGCTGATTGATCACTGTAGCTTTGCAGTAAGTTTTAAGATTGAGAAGTATGAGTCCACTGACTTTGTGGGGTTTTTTTTCAAGATTATTTTGATTATCTTGTGTCCCTTCATTTCCCTGTGAATCTTAGGATCATCGTGTACATTTTTGCAATAAAGCCAGTTGGGATTCTGATAGGCATTGCATCGAATCTGCAGATTAATTTTTAGAGTATTGCCATCTTAACAAGAATAAGTCTTCCAGTCCATGGAAAGAGTATCTTTCCATTCACTTGGGCCTTCTTTCTTTTATGATGCTTTGTAGTTTTTAGTGGATAGAGCTTGTATTTTGTTAAATTCATTACTAAGTACTTTATGAGCATAGATCTTTTAGGACCAGTGAAAGGTGATATAACACTGTGTCTATTTTTTATTGAATCTTCTCAGTCATGTTGTCCACAAAGCAGCGGTCAACCTTGCGACTCATAACATCGCATGAAGGAGTGAAGTACCATTGTCATCGTTGCCATGACAAGAGGGACCGGGCCCTCACTCAGGAAAACAATGTATCAAGAATTATATTCTCATGGAGCTTTTGTTGGGCTTCCCATTTAAGAGAAAAATGATGTGGTTTCCAATGGAGTCTTTGGAGTTACTTGACCCATTCAAACATGGTGAAGGCTCAGTCAGGCTGGAAATCAGATAAAAACCCTGAAAATCAATACCAAGGGTTCATTTCTGTTCAGCTGGTATCTTAAAAACTCTCGTACAGATCCTGCTCCTGTTGTCTGGAGTTCAGAGACATCGAGCTGGTGACGCATGACTGGATTATCGGAACCAGTAAGGCCATTTAAAGGCCATTGGGGAGACTCGGAGGCTAACGATGAACGTTCACCCCACTTTGGAAAGGGTGGAGCACAGGGCCCACGTGTGTGCTGAGGCTTTCTGCTGCTCCTCCCCACACACGCTGCTCTTCCTGGCCTCAGACTTCCCTGCCTCTAGAAGTCCGGGCTGGCCAGGAGTCCCTAGGCAGACACTGACGGGAGGCAGGTCACGTTCAGAACTTCGGGCTGTGACCGTCTCTGTTTTGGCTCCATTGTGACATTTCAATTTCACCCCCACCGTCAGAAAGCCCTGCTGCATCATAATTTGGGTTTGGAAATGGTAGCAAGTTAAAATAAGTCTACTATATTTCAAAGAAAAAGTTTCAAACTATTAAATTTAACTAACAGGTTCAGCGAAAAACCTTACAATATTGACCCTGCACACTGTAAAAATGACTGCTTACAATAAAAAAATGGTTTAGCACTTGTTTACAATACAGCATGAGGTATTTTTAGCCCTTGTGTAGAAATCAACCAAAATCGTTAGTTAATTAACACCTCACCTTAAAATTGGTCTCGCCTTGCATATTAGGTGCTGATATTTCTTGATGGATGATGAAGAGATTGCGAGCAAAGGTCATGAGGACCCCCTGGAGATCCTCACCGATTGTTCTGTTAATGATATCCAAACAAATGAGTTTACCAACGATTCCCCTCACATGCTTAAAAACAATCGCCCTCTCATTTGTGCCTGTCTGGTGAAGGAATTTAATGAGTATTTTCAATCTCACAAGGTGGCAATCTTCAGGGAGATATGAAAGATGAGCCTCCATTTTAACTTGTCAACAAAAAGGATTTGTGTAATAAATATTTTTTATTAATCAACTTAGCAGAATATAGGAATAGATTCATGAGGACAGTAGTAGTAGCTCATTTTAAAAATTAAGTTAGTTTAATAGAATTGCTGGTAAGTGTAATTCATGCCTAACAATTCTCTTGTCTACAGAGTCATTTGCACCTCAGCATTATTTTCTACTTCACGTACACAAGTGACTCCTGCTACTTATAATGCGCCCCACCCACTTTCAGAGGAGAATGTGCCCCATTCACGGACAGTTATCTTTTTAAAGCCGAACACACATTTTAAGAAGATTTCAGCCATGATTGGTGCAGCTTAGTGGGCTGGGCATCATGCTGCAAATTGAAAGGGTGCTGGTTTGATTCCCAGTCAGGGCACATGCCTGGGCTGGGGGCCAGGTCCCTGGTTGGGGATGTGCAAGAGGCAACTGATTGATGTTTCTCTCACACAGATGTTTCTCTCCCTCTCCTTCTCCCTCCTTTCCCCTTGCTCTAAGAATAAATAAATAAAAATCTTTAAAAAAATTGATTCCAAAGACAACCTGCAGACCATCCTGTAGAATTACACTGTGGTTAGTGAACATTCCCAGACAACAAGGTTATTAGAAGTTTTAATCTGGAAACAAAACTCCAGGGCATTTTTTTCTAGGTATTTTTCGAACTTTGCTTATCAAAGGAAAAGAACAGGTTGAAGGAATGGGTTAATTTTTTAAAAATTGTTATGTCTGGAGGGGGTGAACCTAGAAAGCTAGCTGTCCCTTAAGGCAGCTGGAAAAAACTTTGGAATTGCTTCTTCCTTAGCTGTCACCTGCAGAACAAGCCAGCTTATGTGTGAGACACAGGCCTTTTAGAATGGCTGCCTTCCAACCTGAGCGTGCATCCCCTTGGGTCGGGGTGGGATTGGAAAGCTTCCCAGGCCCCAGGGCAGGAGACCAGGGCCCTCTGTCCTGTCCTGTCACTGACCATGTAACTTTGGGGGAAGTGATTTAACCCCTCTGGGTCTTCACTGCTGTAGCTCTGAAATGGAGGAATTGGGCTAGATCAGGGCTCCCACACTTGCTGAGCTCCACTGCCCAAACCCAAGGATGGCCCACCCCACCCTTTATAGCTCCTGAGTATTAATCTCTCTTCTTTTAGGAGGATAAATGTCACTCAAGGCAACCTCAGGGTTGATAATTTAAAAAAAATGGATTTGTGTGCGAGGAAAATGGAGACAACTGTACTTGAACAACAATAAAAGAATAATAAATAAAAAAATGGAGTTGTGTTTTTTTCCCATAGGGTCAGTACATCTCAGACCCCAGGTGCTTCTAAAACCGCAGACTCCTGGGCTCCGCCCCAGGTCAACAAGGTTGGAACCTTTGGGTTTGGAATCCAGGATTATGTAGTGTCACCAAGCCCCCCAGGTAATTCTTATATATACTAAAGATTGAGGCCTGTATTTTAACAAATTATAGGTGAGGGTACGTGTGTGTGCCTGCATGTGTGAGTGGGGCCCACACATGGATCTGTGCCCCTCTCGCCACCCCTCCTCAGTCTGCAGGGGGTCCTGGCTCTAAGCTTGGGAACCAAGAGGCTGGGTGAACTTGAAGCCCTTTGTCTATTAATTAATTCATTTCTAGAACTGCCTTCACTTTCCCTTCCCTGAAATTTTCCCTCAGAATCCACTGTTCTGAGAAATACCCTATTATAAATGGAACTGGTATGGAGCTACCCTGGCAAAGCTAAACCACAAAATCCTGGTCTGTAAGGTCATTCCGTCTTGGAGCCCTCACCTTTCCTAAGGAGGTGGCCAGTGACAGTCTATACCCAGTGTCACCCGATGGCCGTAAAGCCAAACAAGCCCAGCCACTGCACGGAAGGCCTCTCCTTAAGTCTCCAGAGGAAATGAAGCGACACGAAAGGGGAGAAAACAAAAGCTTCTGTCTATTCATCTTTTTTCAATATGAGTTAGAGAAAATGAGGACCACCTCCTGGCCATTGTCTATTTAAAGTTTTCTATTCTCAACCTCCACGTCCACACCTTAGTGTGATCCCTGATACACTAGCTGTAATTCCACCCTTTTATCTCACATTCAGGAAAGCACAACGGGATGCAAGTGAGAAGCTCGGTGATAACCTTCAATCCTGTCTAATGTCCAGGGAAAGTCAACCAGCCAGCTTGGTACAAACTTGCGCAAGTGGCCTAGCTCCTGACAGTAAGCTGAGAATCTCTATATTCCATGCAAGGTTCCAGGGTGGCCACACGATGTAGTAGTCATTGTGGTGTAGAGAAAGGAATACTAGATTCAAGGTCAGGAGACACAATCCAGTGTGTGACCCCAGAAAATCACATCCCCTCTCTAAGCCTCAGTTTCCCTTCTACATAATGAGGGTCAGTTGAGAGCCATGGTCCTCCCTTGCTCTAATATACTCTGGCTCTAGGACTGCAGGAAGGAACGAGAACATAATGGGACAGAAGAGAGTAGGCAAGGCCCTGGGGGGTCTCTCAGAAGGCCCATGTCAGCATGTAGGAAGTGTGAGTAGCGATACCCATCTAGAAGGTGCCCCAATAGGACTATTCCTACTACCAAAGCTAGTCTGTGGGTCAGGGCCTCCTCGCCAGAAATCTCAGGGGCACATGGAGGCACAGGTGGGTGGGTCCTTCTCGGTCTAATTATTCATTCTGTAGGTTTCAGCATCAAGTGAACGTTGCTGCTTGGTTAGTTTGATGATTGAGAGTTTTGTTTTTCACAGCACAGTCTCTTCTTCCGGCTCCTAAATTCTGGGGTCCTCTTGCCTGGCCCCTGTGTGCCCTAGTACCCACCTGGATAAAGCTTCCCCGGGCCCACCTCAGGATCTCTGCCTCTGCCCTGTGAACACTGTCCTCGTCTCATCCTGCGCATTCTGGGACACAGGCCCTGTTTCCGAGTGTCAGTTTCCACCAATGGGCTCCCTTCCTGCCGTCCCCTTGTCATCCCGGGTCTCTGAAAGCAGCCTCCTCTTTGAGCTCCCACGGTCACGCTCCTTCCACCTAGTCCTCAGGTTGTCCTTTTACTCCTTGCAGTTGGAACCTTCCTGGCTGATTGCTTGTCTGGCTGTTCTCCCCTCCTGAAGGGCACTCACCCCTCCCAGCCTCATCCCTGGTGCACGAGGGTCTGTCCAGTTTCAGTCCCAGCCCAGCTTGTCATTTTCAGTCCATCTTCCACACCAGCCAGTGCCCGGCAAGGCGAATTCATGTCTCTGTGTTGTGACTTCTAGTTCTTTTTTTTTTTTAATCCTCACCTGAGGACATGCTGACTGATTTTAGAGACAGGGTGAGGGAGAGAAACAGCAATGTGAGGGAGTAACATCAATCAGTTGCCTCTCATACGTGCCCTGACCAGGGATCTCTTGTATGTGCCTGTGGGGGACCGAACCCACAACCCAGGCATGTGCCCCGACCGGGAATCAAACCTATAACTCTTTTGTCTATGAGACGATGTTCCAACCAAGTGAGCCATACCAGCCAGGGCTGACTTCCAGTTCTTGTACAATACTTAAGTAACCCATTGTCTGAATTCCTGAGGTTAGAAGTGTACTAGAACCTTGAACCTTACCTGCTTAGTTAGAATCATAACTATACAAATTTCTTATTTCCCAGCTTGCCAACCTCAAATCCAGTTAAGTGCTTGGTTTTCCCAGTCCTAGTAACTGCCTGGTATCCTTTGCCCTGCCATAGTCCTGGCATCAAAGTGACAAGTTTGGAGGGAGTAGGACGGGAAATACTTGATCTCTGGTGCTCTGGCTACCGGTAAGCTGCTGCTCCCCTTTCCTGGCTCATCAGGAGTGGACGTGCTGCACCATATTTACTCACTTAGTTAGTTACCCAGTGTCCACCCCGCCACCATATCAGCTTGTGGGGCAGGCACCTCTCCTTTGGTTCACTGCTGTGTGCCCCACACCTGGATCTGTGCCTGGCATAACTGGTTCAGTGCTCTTAAATTTTCTCATAGGTGAGGGTAGGGCAGGGAGGGAGCTGAAGGACAGAACAGCATTGACAAGCGAGGGCAGCTCCCTCCCCGCACGTGTGAAGAGGGGCTGCGGCTCCATTGTCATCCTGGGTGTGAGTATGTGCTCATTGGAATGTTGCGGATCGAGTTGTCAGTTGCTGTTGTGGCCCTGGCTGTGTAGCAACAGGCTGGGGAAGAGAGCCGAAATGAATAGTGAGGGGACTCTTTTAATGGGATCCAGTAAGTTTCACAAGATCACGGGACCTTGGGGAAAGGTTGGGACTGGAGGGCAGGACTCAAACAGCCAGCTTCTCCTCTTCTTGGTGAGCAGAAGCTTTTAAGACTGTAAGCACTAGATCAAATTGTAGCCACATCCTAGCTCCAAAGGGGAAGAAACCACAACATTCGCATCAATTCAGAGGGACCAGTGCGGGTGCGCAGATGGTGCCTGCAGTAGCCTGATAGCACTTCAGTAACACAGAGGGCTGTGCTGTGGATGGGGGTTGAGATCTGTCCTGTGCGCATCTTTGCCTGTTTCCGTGTGCACCAGTTAGGACCAGTGTCTAGGAGACTGAGCATCTGGGGAGAAACTGAGACTGTTCAGGAGCATTGATACTTAATATAGGAATTGGCTCTTGCTTGGTCAGTTTTTTTATGAGGCCAGATCTTAGTGTGTCTGTGTGTTTCAATATGAGGTCACATTGCTTTAGAATGATGTTCTAAAGAGAGACATGTAGGGCAGAAACAGTTTCCCAATAAATTAGGAAGATGTAAAGGCACCAAATAACCACATATTCCAGGATATGGAATAG